ACTACTATTACTACTACTACTACCATACTACTACTATACTACTACTATACTCTTTTATTATATTGTATGATCTATTAGAATAGAATAGAAGAGAATAGAAGAGAATAGAATAGTATAGAAGAGAAGAGAATGGTATAGTATAGAATGGTATAGTACAGAAACAGCTACAATTGAATAGGATTGAATATATCATGGCTTGCTCACAGGCCAGGCCAGAGACCACGGGCTTTAGGCCTTGGTACTTAGGCTTTAGGCTCTAGGCTTTAGGCTCCGGTTCTTAGGCTCAGTGTCAAGCTGCAGCCTGTAATGGGTGTCTGGTCAGGGTTTGGTCTGGGCCGTGATAAGGCTATAGACATCAGCTCTTGCAGTGTTCTCTCTATATACTGCCCCAACACCAGCCCCAGTCCAGGCCTGAACGCGCGGTACAAGAGCGCAGGTCTGGGAACAGCCTAAACCCTGAGCCCTAAAGCCTAGCCTTAACCCAGGCCTGAGCTCCAGTATAGACTCGAGCCTTGGGTTCAGGCTAAAACCTGACCTGTGGCAGTACCAGTGGCAGTTCAGAAGCATGGGTAGCTGGGGAAGTACTCTGGGTACTTCGGGGGATACTTTGAGTACTCTGGGTACTCTGGGAACTGTGGGAACTCCAGCAACAGGCGAGTGATGGGAATACGCGCTAGAAGCGTGGGAACAGTGATACGTGTGCTACGTGTGCTACGTGTGCTACGTGTGTGACGGGGGGATACTACAGGCGATGTGTAGGATGACGGTAGTACTCAGAAGAGTCGAAGAATCGCTAAGATAGAATAGGCGCTGTGATCTCGCTGTGACCTCGGATTCTATATCACCCAGCCAGTTCTATCGGGCCCACTCTATAGTGGATCTGTGATCTGTGAAGTCCTTTGGACCTGGAGACCAGGGTTTGGCTCTAGAATTTTAAAATTTTAAAAAAAAACCCTCTGGCCATAGGCTGGAATCACGGGAGGATCACGGGCGAATGGCTGGGGTCTATCGGCACTGTGACCTCCCTGTGACCTCGGTTTCTATATGATCCAGGCAGTTCTATCTGGCTCACTCTACAGTGGGTCTGTGATCTGTGAAGTCCTTTGGACCTGGAGGACCAGGGTTTGGCTCTAGAATTTTAAAATTTTAAAAAACCCTCTGGCCATAGGCTGGAATCACGGGTGGATCACGGGCGGTGGATCACGGGTGGATCATAGCCGGATGCCTGGCTGGATTTTGAAATTTTAAAATTGAAGAGGCCTGGGCGGTCCAAAAGATGGGCCGAGATCACAGATTCCATAATGAGATCACAGCAGTTTGATCTTCAATGGGGATCTGTATGCTGAGGCGCGCTTCCTCTGTGTCCAAGTCCAAGTCATGGTAGCAGACGACGCTGTTTTATGTAGGCTGTGACCTCCCTGTGACCTCCCTGTGACCTCGGTGCCTATATGTTTGGGTACTTTTTACAATGCGTGGTGGGCACAACCAATGGGCACGTACTGGCCACGTACTGGCCACGTACGGGTCACCCAATGTGCGCGGCATCCACGATCACGCTCGTGTTTGAAGCCAGTGGAGTCTACTATAGAGGCTTTGGGCGGGTATAGGGCAAGCTGCTGCAGTCTCTCCTATGGTATCCTCTATCTCCGTATATGTTCTACTACTATTACTACTACTACTATTACTACTACTACTACCATACTACTACTATACTACTACTATACTCTTTTATTATATTGTATGATCTATTAGAATAGAATAGAAGAGAATAGAAGAGAATAGAATAGTATAGAAGAGAAGAGAATGGTATAGTATAGAATGGTATAGTACAGAAACAGCTACAATTGAATAGGATTGAATATATCATGGCTTGCTCACAGGCCAGGCCAGAGACCACGGGCTTTAGGCCTTGGTACTTAGGCTTTAGGCTCTAGGCTTTAGGCTCCGGTTCTTAGGCTCAGTGTCAAGCTGCAGCCTGTAATGGGTGTCTGGTCAGGGTTTGGTCTGGGCCGTGATAAGGCTATAGACATCAGCTCTTGCAGTGTTCTCTCTATATACTGCCCCAACACCAGCCCCAGTCCAGGCCTGAACGCGCGGTACAAGAGCGCAGGTCTGGGAACAGCCTAAACCCTGAGCCCTAAAGCCTAGCCTTAACCCAGGCCTGAGCTCCAGTATAGACTCGAGCCTTGGGTTCAGGCTAAAACCTGACCTGTGGCAGTACCAGTGGCAGTTCAGAAGCATGGGTAGCTGGGGAAGTACTCTGGGTACTTCGGGGGATACTTTGAGTACTCTGGGTACTCTGGGAACTGTGGGAACTCCAGCAACAGGCGAGTGATGGGAATACGCGCTAGAAGCGTGGGAACAGTGATACGTGTGCTACGTGTGCTACGTGTGCTACGTGTGTGACGGGGGGATACTACAGGCGATGTGTAGGATGACGGTAGTACTCAGAAGAGTCGAAGAATCGCTAAGATAGAATAGGCGCTGTGATCTCGCTGTGACCTCGGATTCTATATCACCCAGCCAGTTCTATCGGGCCCACTCTATAGTGGATCTGTGATCTGTGAAGTCCTTTGGACCTGGAGACCAGGGTTTGGCTCTAGAATTTTAAAATTTTAAAAAAAAACCCTCTGGCCATAGGCTGGAATCACGGGAGGATCACGGGCGAATGGCTGGGGTCTATCGGCACTGTGACCTCCCTGTGACCTCGGTTTCTATATGATCCAGGCAGTTCTATCTGGCTCACTCTACAGTGGGTCTGTGATCTGTGAAGTCCTTTGGACCTGGAGGACCAGGGTTTGGCTCTAGAATTTTAAAATTTTAAAAAACCCTCTGGCCATAGGCTGGAATCACGGGTGGATCACGGGCGGTGGATCACGGGTGGATCATAGCCGGATGCCTGGCTGGATTTTGAAATTTTAAAATTGAAGAGGCCTGGGCGGTCCAAAAGATGGGCCGAGATCACAGATTCCATAATGAGATCACAGCAGTTTGATCTTCAATGGGGATCTGTATGCTGAGGCGCGCTTCCTCTGTGTCCAAGTCCAAGTCATGGTAGCAGACGACGCTGTTTTATGTAGGCTGTGACCTCCCTGTGACCTCCCTGTGACCTCGGTGCCTATATGTTTGGGTACTTTTTACAATGCGTGGTGGGCACAACCAATGGGCACGTACTGGCCACGTACTGGCCACGTACGGGTCACCCAATGTGCGCGGCATCCACGATCACGCTCGTGTTTGAAGCCAGTGGAGTCTACTATAGAGGCTTTGGGCGGGTATAGGGCAAGCTGCTGCAGTCTCTCCTATGGTATCCTCTATCTCCGTATATGTTCTACTACTATTACTACTACTACTATTACTACTACTACTACCATACTACTACTATACTACTACTATACTCTTTTATTATATTGTATGATCTATTAGAATAGAATAGAAGAGAATAGAAGAGAATAGAATAGTATAGAAGAGAAGAGAATGGTATAGTATAGAATGGTATAGTACAGAAACAGCTACAATTGAATAGGATTGAATATATCATGGCTTGCTCACAGGCCAGGCCAGAGACCACGGGCTTTAGGCCTTGGTACTTAGGCTTTAGGCTCTAGGCTTTAGGCTCCGGTTCTTAGGCTCAGTGTCAAGCTGCAGCCTGTAATGGGTGTCTGGTCAGGGTTTGGTCTGGGCCGTGATAAGGCTATAGACATCAGCTCTTGCAGTGTTCTCTCTATATACTGCCCCAACACCAGCCCCAGTCCAGGCCTGAACGCGCGGTACAAGAGCGCAGGTCTGGGAACAGCCTAAACCCTGAGCCCTAAAGCCTAGCCTTAACCCAGGCCTGAGCTCCAGTATAGACTCGAGCCTTGGGTTCAGGCTAAAACCTGACCTGTGGCAGTACCAGTGGCAGTTCAGAAGCATGGGTAGCTGGGGAAGTACTCTGGGTACTTCGGGGGATACTTTGAGTACTCTGGGTACTCTGGGAACTGTGGGAACTCCAGCAACAGGCGAGTGATGGGAATACGCGCTAGAAGCGTGGGAACAGTGATACGTGTGCTACGTGTGCTACGTGTGCTACGTGTGTGACGGGGGGATACTACAGGCGATGTGTAGGATGACGGTAGTACTCAGAAGAGTCGAAGAATCGCTAAGATAGAATAGGCGCTGTGATCTCGCTGTGACCTCGGATTCTATATCACCCAGCCAGTTCTATCGGGCCCACTCTATAGTGGATCTGTGATCTGTGAAGTCCTTTGGACCTGGAGACCAGGGTTTGGCTCTAGAATTTTAAAATTTTAAAAAAAAACCCTCTGGCCATAGGCTGGAATCACGGGAGGATCACGGGCGAATGGCTGGGGTCTATCGGCACTGTGACCTCCCTGTGACCTCGGTTTCTATATGATCCAGGCAGTTCTATCTGGCTCACTCTACAGTGGGTCTGTGATCTGTGAAGTCCTTTGGACCTGGAGGACCAGGGTTTGGCTCTAGAATTTTAAAATTTTAAAAAACCCTCTGGCCATAGGCTGGAATCACGGGTGGATCACGGGCGGTGGATCACGGGTGGATCATAGCCGGATGCCTGGCTGGATTTTGAAATTTTAAAATTGAAGAGGCCTGGGCGGTCCAAAAGATGGGCCGAGATCACAGATTCCATAATGAGATCACAGCAGTTTGATCTTCAATGGGGATCTGTATGCTGAGGCGCGCTTCCTCTGTGTCCAAGTCCAAGTCATGGTAGCAGACGACGCTGTTTTATGTAGGCTGTGACCTCCCTGTGACCTCCCTGTGACCTCGGTGCCTATATGTTTGGGTACTTTTTACAATGCGTGGTGGGCACAACCAATGGGCACGTACTGGCCACGTACTGGCCACGTACGGGTCACCCAATGTGCGCGGCATCCACGATCACGCTCGTGTTTGAAGCCAGTGGAGTCTACTATAGAGGCTTTGGGCGGGTATAGGGCAAGCTGCTGCAGTCTCTCCTATGGTATCCTCTATCTCCGTATATGTTCTACTACTATTACTACTACTACTATTACTACTACTACTACCATACTACTACTATACTACTACTATACTCTTTTATTATATTGTATGATCTATTAGAATAGAATAGAAGAGAATAGAAGAGAATAGAATAGTATAGAAGAGAAGAGAATGGTATAGTATAGAATGGTATAGTACAGAAACAGCTACAATTGAATAGGATTGAATATATCATGGCTTGCTCACAGGCCAGGCCAGAGACCACGGGCTTTAGGCCTTGGTACTTAGGCTTTAGGCTCTAGGCTTTAGGCTCCGGTTCTTAGGCTCAGTGTCAAGCTGCAGCCTGTAATGGGTGTCTGGTCAGGGTTTGGTCTGGGCCGTGATAAGGCTATAGACATCAGCTCTTGCAGTGTTCTCTCTATATACTGCCCCAACACCAGCCCCAGTCCAGGCCTGAACGCGCGGTACAAGAGCGCAGGTCTGGGAACAGCCTAAACCCTGAGCCCTAAAGCCTAGCCTTAACCCAGGCCTGAGCTCCAGTATAGACTCGAGCCTTGGGTTCAGGCTAAAACCTGACCTGTGGCAGTACCAGTGGCAGTTCAGAAGCATGGGTAGCTGGGGAAGTACTCTGGGTACTTCGGGGGATACTTTGAGTACTCTGGGTACTCTGGGAACTGTGGGAACTCCAGCAACAGGCGAGTGATGGGAATACGCGCTAGAAGCGTGGGAACAGTGATACGTGTGCTACGTGTGCTACGTGTGCTACGTGTGTGACGGGGGGATACTTGTGATGATCATGCACGTTGGGAACACGTGTGGACTGCTGCGCGTGATGCACCGTGAGTCATGTTTGTTTGTCTTGGCGTGTATTCCCTGATTGGCTGGCGCCGATGACTCTTACTTCGCCTCCGACTGCGCTGTGCTTCGCCCCTCTCGCTGGATGCTCCGCCTCCCTCGCACCCCCTTCTCGTCCCTCGTTTGTCGCTCCACCCTTCTCGCCCACTTTCGCCCTTCGGTTTCCCTCTTGGCTATAAAGCCCCTCCTTTCTTGCACCCATTTTGTATCTTCAGTTCGAACAACACTTGTTGTTATCTGATAAGTCGTAATATAGCTTATCGTTGTTCGCCAAGCACCTGGTCGTCCAGTGTCGTTGCTTGTCGTGGTCCTCACATATTGTTCGAACTCCCTCTCTCTGTCTGACCACCTGCTTGGCTGAGGCTTCGTTGCTGCCCTCATCCTTCTATTCTCTGTTGTCTTCTCTGCACTCTCCCCCCCGCCCCCATATCCCACATGGACCAACTCCAGGCCCAAATCGTTGCCCTCCAGGAGGAACTGGTCCTCCTCCGGACCACACACTCTTCCGCCGCCCCGCAGCTCCCCCACATGCCGACCCCGGACAAGTTCGACGGCACCAGGTCAAAGTTCCGCCCCTTCGTCAACCAGTGCCGCCTGCTCATGATGCTTCAGGCATCCAGGTTCCCGTCCGAGCAAGTCAAGGTGGGTTACGTCTTGAGTTTGCTCACTGGTCCGGCCCTCCAGTGGGCGACTCCCTTGATCGAGTCGAACGATCAAATCCTGCACTCGTTCGACTCGTTCATGGAACGCTTTCGCCAAGCGTTTGACGATCCCGACCGCACCCATACTGCCGAGCTGCTCCTTTCCTCCATGGCACAGGGCAACCGATCGTGCATGGACTACGCTTCCGAGTTCCTCCGCGTTGCCGCCGACCTTCCCTGGAACGACGAAGCCAAGATATCCGCCTTCCGCCGTGGCCTGTCGAGGGAGATCAAGCAGCGTCTCTCCTTCATCGACCCTCTCCCTCTCCGCTTGGTCCCGTTCGTCGAGCGTTGCCTCAAGATCGACGCACGCATCATCGAGCTCAACAACGAGCTCCGAAACACCGGCCCTGTTTCCTTCGGCACCCAGGCCTTCCACTCCCGCACCCCGTCCTTCCAGCCGCCCGCCCAGGAGCCTCCGGTCCTCTACTCCGAGCCGATGCAGATCGACGCCGCCGTCGTCAGCCGCCTGACCCCCGAGGAGAAGAATCGCCGCTTCCAGGAGCGCCTCTGCTTCCGTTGTGGCAAGCCCGGCCACGTCGCCAAGTCCTGCCCCCTCAAGTCCGGCTCCCGTGCTCCCGCCTCTGGTTCCCGCTTCCCTGGCTCCCGTCCTCAGGCTCCCGGCTCCCGTCCCCGTTCGAAGGTTGTCCGAACCATCGTCTACGATGATGGTGAGGAGGAACACTTCGAGTCGGGAAACGACCAGGCCCAGATCTAAGTGGAGGCTTAGATCTGGAGCCGTCCCCCCTTCCTCCAGAAGCAAGCGTCGATGGTAAGGAGCATGAGGTAAGTGTCGAACGCATGGCTATGTGTGGAATGATCAATGTAGTCGGTGGTGGATCGCACTCTGTCAATACCGCCTCTTCTAAGGGCACATCTGGCTCCCAGATGTCTTTGACAGAGCTCCCGATCTCCACACCACCTGCGAACTTGGTCATCTGCTCGAACCATGCTGCCGACACTGATCTCTGCTCCGAGCCTTCTTCGTGCGTTTCTTCGATTTCTTCGTCTTCTCCCGTTTTCTCCGCTTCTCTTGTTCTCCCTTCTGGTCGCTCCCTCTCTTGCCAACTTCTCGTCGATTCTGGTGCCTCCGGGAACTTCATCGACGAGAGCTTTGTTGACCGCTTCTCGGTCCCCCTCGTTTCCAAATCCACTCCTCTCCCTGTCCAAGGTGTCGATGGCCAGCCACTTTCTTCCGGCCCCATCACTTTTGAGACGGAACCCCTCAAGATTGTTCTTGGGGACTACACTCAACACCTTTCCTTTGATGTCATTAAGTCTCCCCACCAACCCGTTATCCTTGGCTATCCCTGGCTGCAGTCCATCGAACCCAGGCTTCACTGGGCTCGTGGACTCCTTTGCCTTCCCCGTCCTGCAAGCCACATCCTCAAGGTTGTGGATGCCTCTTCCCTCCCTTCCGTTTCTTCCGTTTCTCCTTCTCCCCTTCCTCTTGTTGGCGACACACCCAATGTTTTCCCTCGTGCCTCTACCGACACCACTGTGGTGCTCGCTTCTTCGCCTCGCACCGTTTGTACTCGCGAAGATGATCAGAATAAAGTGATCGCTCAACGTTATTCTGATTGTGTTCCGAGTGAGGTGCCCTGTTCCTGTGCTGCTCGTCCTGGTCCCTCCGGTCTCGTCTCCGTCCGTCCTGGTCTCCCCGGTCCCGTTGCTCCCAGCCCCGCTCCTGTCCGTGTCCAAGCGATCAGGTACAAGTCGTTGGAGCAGTCCGTCCTCGACACACAGTCTAGCCCCGACCCCCTGACTGTGTTCCAAGTCCTCGTCCTTCCTGCCACCGATCCGGATCCGACGCCCCTCTCGACGTCGATCCCCGAGGAGTACAAGTCGTTTGGCTCAGTCTTCTCGAAGCAGGAAGCCGACTCGTTGCCCCCGCACCGGACGTACGACTGCCCGATCGACCTGGAGCCCGGCAAGACCCCCAAGTTCGGACCACTCTACTCCCTGTCAGAGCCCGAACTCAAGGCCCTTCGTGAATACCTCGACGACAACCTCGTCAAAGGGTTCATCCGTCCTTCGTCCTCTCCCGCCGGTTCCCCGATCCTCTTCGTCAAGAAGAAGGACGGCTCTCTGCGTCTCTGCGTGGACTATCGCGCATTGAACACGATCACGGTCAAGAATCGTTATCCCTTACCGTTGATCAACGAGATGCTGGACCGAGTCCGGGACGCGAAGGTGTTCACGAAGCTGGACCTCCGCGGGGCCTACAACCTGCTGCGTATCCGCGCAGGCGACGAGTGGAAGACGGCCTTCCGCACTCGTTACGGCCAGTTCGAGTACTTGGTGATGCCCTTTGGACTCACCAATGCTCCGGCCACCTTCCAGCACTTCATCAACGATGTCCTTCGTGAGGAGCTGGACAACTTTGCGATTGCCTACCTTGACGACATCTTGATTTACAGCGCTGACCCCACTCAGCATGCAAATCACGTCAAGCAGGTCCTGGCCAAGCTCCAGGCTGCAAAGTTGTACTGCAAGCTGGAGAAGTGCGAGTTCTCCAAGGACAAGGTCTCGTTCCTCGGCTACGTCATCTCGCCCAAGGGTATCGAGATGGAACGAGCAAAGCTCTCCGCCATTGTCGACTGGCCCGTCCCCCGCAATGTCTCCGACCTTCGCTCCTTCATTGGGTTCTCGAACTTTTACCGTCGCTTCATTGACGGATATGCCAAGATCGCCGGTCCGCTCACGCTCCTGTTCAAGAAGTCCCAGGTCTTCCGCTGGTCCCCCGACGCCCACAAGGCTTTCCAGTCCCTCAAGGAAGCCTTCGTCTCCGAGCCCGTCCTTGCGCACCCCGACCCATCCAAGCCCTTTGTCGTGGAGTCTGATGCCTCAGACTTTGCGATCGGATGCGTCCTGTCCCAGCGCGGCTCCGATGGCCACCTGCACCCGTGCTCCTTTCACTCCCGCACGCTCATGGATGCTGAACGCAACTACAGCATCTATGAGAAGGAGCTCTTGGCCATCAAGGAGGCATTCGAGGTCTGGCGACACTACCTCGAAGGCGCCCAACACCCAGTCCAAGTCCTTACCGACCACAAGAACTTGGAATACCTGGCGTCGGCCCGCATCCTCAACCAGCGACACGCCCGGTGGTCGCAGTTCCTGTCTCGGTTCGACCTCCGGATTCAATACCTCCCCGGTCCAAAGAACGGCAAGGCCGACGCTCTCTCCCGCCGCCCGGACTACGTCCCTCCGTCCGCACCTGTGTCCAAGGAGCCTCCCCCGTTGCTGCCACCTTCGGCGTTCGCCTGTGCCGTCCGTCGCTCCTCGGATGCAAGTTCCACTCGCCCTGTGGACTTGCTCAAGCTCATTGCCGAGGAGCAACCAAAGGACCCGTCCCTGGACCAGCTCCGCAACGATCCCAAGTATGTCCTGAAGGATGATCTCCTCACCTTCATGGACAAGATCGTTGTGCCAGAGTCGTGTCGAGTCCCCGTCCTCAAGTCATGCCACGACCCTGTCGCTGTTGGACATCCTGGCATTCGGCGGACCCGAGCACTGATCTCGAGGCAGTTCTGGTGGCCCTCGATCCGCAAGGATGTCCAGGCTTATGTCTCGACGTGCGACACTTGTGCACGCTCGAAAGTCCCTCGACATAAGCCGTTTGGATACTTGCAGCCCCTCCCGACGGCATCGCGACCCTGGTCTCTGGTGACGATGGACTTTATCACCGACCTCCCCGAGTCCAACGGCAAGACTTGCATCTTTGTCGTCGTCGATAGCCTGACCAAGATGGCCCACTTCCTTCCCTGTCGGTCCCTCCCAAGTGCCGAGGAAACAGCGTCGCTGTTCCTCGACAACATCTTCCGCCTCCACGGTCTCCCGGACAACATCGTCTCGGACCGAGGAAGCCAGTTCACCTCGCGGTTCTGGCAGGCCCTGTGCTCGGAACTCGGCATCAAGACCAGTCTGTCCACGGCGTTCCATCCCCAAACCGATGGACAGACTGAGCGGGTCAACCAAGTCATCAACCAGCATCTCCGCTGCTACACCTCGTACCAGCAGGATGACTGGGCGATGCTGCTCCCGCTCGCCGAGTTCTCATACAACAACCTCGAGCACACCTCGACCAAGGCCTCCCCGTTCCTGGCGACTTACGGCTTCAACCCTCGATTCGAGTCTCCGGTCCTTCCTTCCAGTCTCGATGTCCCCTCCGCGACCGACCGAGTCGAACACCTTCAGCACAACTTGGCGTTGCTGAAGGAGAACCTCGAGAAGGCCAAGGCGGACTACAAGCGCTTTGCGGATGCCCACAAGTCCGACGCTCCCAAGTTCGCTCCTGGCGATCAAGTCTGGGTCCTAACACGCAACATCAAGACCACCCGTCCAAGCAAGAAGTTGGACTACCAGCGCATCGGACCCTACAAGATCGTCGAAGCCATCGGTTCCCTCGCCTTCCGCCTCGACCTTCCCAAGGATCTCAAGATCCATCCGGTGTTCCATGTCTCCCTCCTCGAGCCCCACAAGTCGAACACCCTCCCCGGCCGCATCCAAGACCCTCCTCCGCCAGTCCGCGTCGACGACCACTTGGAGTATGAAGTTCAGGAGATCCTCGACTCCAAGCTGGTCCGCGGTAAGTTGAGCTATTTCGTTGATTGGAAGGGCTACTCGACTGATCATCGCAGCTGGGAGCCCGCCAACTACGTTAACGCTCCCGACAAGATAGCCGACTTCCACCGCCGGTACCCCGACAAGCCTGGACTTATTGTTCGTAGGAGTGGCCGTAGTTTGGGGAGGGGATGATGTGATGATCATGCACGTTGGGAACACGTGTGGACTGCTGCGCGTGATGCACCGTGAGTCATGTTTGTTTGTCTTGGCGTGTATTCCCTGATTGGCTGGCGCCGATGACTCTTACTTCGCCTCCGACTGCGCTGTGCTTCGCCCCTCTCGCTGGATGCTCCGCCTCCCTCGCACCCCCTTCTCGTCCCTCGTTTGTCGCTCCACCCTTCTCGCCCACTTTCGCCCTTCGGTTTCCCTCTTGGCTATAAAGCCCCTCCTTTCTTGCACCCATTTTGTATCTTCAGTTCGAACAACACTTGTTGTTATCTGATAAGTCGTAATATAGCTTATCGTTGTTCGCCAAGCACCTGGTCGTCCAGTGTCGTTGCTTGTCGTGGTCCTCACAATACTACAGGCGATGTGTAGGATGACGGTAGTACTCAGAAGAGTCGAAGAATCGCTAAGATAGAATAGGCGCTGTGATCTCGCTGTGACCTCGGATTCTATATCACCCAGCCAGTTCTATCGGGCCCACTCTATAGTGGATCTGTGATCTGTGAAGTCCTTTGGACCTGGAGACCAGGGTTTGGCTCTAGAATTTTAAAATTTTAAAAAAAAACCCTCTGGCCATAGGCTGGAATCACGGGAGGATCACGGGCGAATGGCTGGGGTCTATCGGCACTGTGACCTCCCTGTGACCTCGGTTTCTATATGATCCAGGCAGTTCTATCTGGCTCACTCTACAGTGGGTCTGTGATCTGTGAAGTCCTTTGGACCTGGAGGACCAGGGTTTGGCTCTAGAATTTTAAAATTTTAAAA